TTTTGAGCTTCCATACGAAGAAACAAGCGCGATAAATGTGTGATAGAGATGTTAGGACGTTGTTGAGCATGATGATGCTCATATCTCGAGCTTGGGAAGAAAACCTTTGAATAGGCTCTCGTGCGAGGGATTGGGTGATGAGAAGGTGATAGAGCACGCGATCAGACAGAGAGCTAGGGAATATCCCTCATCACTACTCACCACTTGGTGAAATGGGAATATCATGAGCCCTTGACAAGCACGTTGATTCTCAGCAAGAGAGGATGGAGCCCCAAAGCCTTCAAACTAAGTCATCATGTCACCATACGTATCATTTATTCATTTTCTCTCAGCATCAGAGATTTTGAGCACGTTTGTAGGCAACTTAGAGGCCTCAGAGGCCTTTAGCACCGCACCCCACCACCACCCCCTCTAACCTACCAGCCTCTACGCACCTACCCCCTCCCTGTAGTATCTGTTCTGCTCTATTACAGTTCGCTTTTGCAAAGATCATTTGAGCACTACCATTTCAATCTCGATAGGTCCGTCGGTTTCGGTCATTAAGGCTCCTGGTTTGACTGATGTAAGTTTGATTTTAAGCTGTGAGTTACTGTAATCCGGTGGAGGATTATCGTCCAAATCTTCCTCGTCACTTATAAACCCCGAGGATTCTGGTCCCCGACTTCCCTGGCTATTGACACTGAAGATCTTTTCCATGCTGCTCTGAAACCGCTTCAGTTTTCTCTCGGAATCTCGTGACCTACTTAGGCGAGCAAAAATTCGTCTCAGTCCACGTCGAATCCTTGAAGGGAGACTACGAATCCTACAGTGACGTAAACAAGGTTATTAGTCTGGACTCTCTAACAACAGTGATAGAGTAGGAAAGCAAACAGCAGACAATCAGGTTCCTCGACATTTTTTTGCCATAGACTTTCATCTTTTCTCAGTGACCACTTCGTTATTCATAGAGAGCCGGAAGTTAGTAGAATGGGTAGAATGGAACATACACTACATCACCGTGACGTATATAGAGCCACATATATATTTCCCATTCTAATTTAAGCACTGAAGCACACGTACCAACTCCGCGGTATGGCCAGTACCTTACGAATGCGCACAACCATATCAACCCCGGCAGTAGTAGCCATGGACAGCTGTTTCGTCTTCATTAGGACTCATCAGCATGGCATAGCCACCGGCGAGATGTCTCACATACGATCATCGACCCCGCAGGTTACCACCGAGGCGAGTGCAAAAGCATTCCACCCAGCCACCACCTCCCCCCGCCCCCCCACCTCCAAAGTAATTTTCGAAACCGTATCGAAAAAAGTTTTTTTTTCAGTTTTTCTTTTCTGTCTTTATTGTTGTAAAGTAATCAAAAGCAAAAAGGAAGATTACGTCAGTTATTGGCAAATGTGAAGTTTTATATAAACGTCGCCTTCAGAAAATGCAGTATTGTCAAGTCGAATTTAATGTGCGCTGCAGCGTTTTTCGACTGAATACGGTAGTCCTCATCCGAATAACTATATTGCCAACGTCTTTCTACAACAGACAAACCAACGGAAAAATACGTTTCAACAAGGTGAAGCACATTTTCTATGGTTATGGTACGGCCATATGAATGTCATAAATGGCTTCAGCCGAGATTGAGTCAGATAGTCTGTTGCAACCCGTCGAATAAAGGAACTTTCAACACAGCACACTAGATATTAGGAGTCAGAAGTTTTCATGTTCCCAGTCAAAGTCAGAAATTGTCATATTCCCAGCTTTGAACTCACCCTAATAGAGATTTTTCTTTCGAGGGTGTAGAAGAACATGATCGAGACATTAAATAAAAATAAACAAAAATAGCGCGCACGAAACAAATCGTATCGTGGAAGAGGGCGACCTCTACTATTTACCTTCTTTATTGGTAAGCAAATCTTTTCGTATAATTAGCGACACATTAGGCGACTTCTCGTCAATTTAACAAATAAAAACTGTCCAAATAACTCCTTGTGGATACAACTCCCACAAAACTACTTTTGTGTCCGCCCATATAATGAATAGTATTTTACAACAAGTGAAGGGAGACTTGATCACGGGGTTCATTAATTTTAGCCTGATCCAAGCTCTCATATAGTGGAGATGAGGCGTAAGTAAAAGGCACGCGAAAATATGAGCGCGTGATTTGGGTTTTATTTTCGTATTGGTGCTTTAGTTCTCAATTTCGTGGACCCAACTATCTCGGAGCATGGAACAGGATGTTAGGTACATTTTCACGTTCGCCATTTGAAGTGAACGTGATTCAAAATTTATCTCTACTTATCTCCGCAGAAAGCCTTTCCTTTTCTTTCCTTTATTTTTGGCCTGTTCCAGGCTTTCAGAGATGGGGACGGCCGGCTCAAAGAGATGTAATGACCTTTTAAAAACAAATCTCACAGGCGTTCCTTCCTCCTCCTTCTCCCTGGGCGCTTTCCATTTAGTCAAAATTTCCGGAATTTCCGGTTCGGCTGTAAATGGAACACGTTTCGTCTGTTCGTCCCACTGGAAAATTCCCAGAAAAAGTGGAAAATCTAAAAAGCTAGGTGAGCCCATTTTCCCGGTTGGAATTTCCGAACGGAATTTCCTGTTCCATTTACACGTTTCTCGTGGTTTGTACCAGTCCCAGGTCCACGGCAAGAAAATCTGTCGGGCACTGCGACGTACCGGGGTTTATGACCAAATGGAACAACTTTTTACCAATCGGAAATTCCACTTTTGCTCCCACCGAAATTTCCAGTTTTTTTTTTCCTAAATGAAAAGACCGCGAAATTTTGCCCAGCGGATTAATTCACTTCAAATGTGCCCATGAGCTTGAGAAATGGCGGACGGACTTAAAATTTCCGTGCAATTTAGGTGAGATTTCCTCTAAGAATTTGATCACAAGAAACGTTATAAAAGCCGAGAACTTTTCATGACAGTTTTCTCTCTGGTTTAGTGGTGGAGCCGAGCTTTTATTCAACAAAGCGAAGGAACACGAGGTGCTTTTACCGAAGGACGAGAATCCATGTGAGTAAGATTTCCCATTTCAATGGCAGATGATTTACACCACGACTATATGTCCAGTAGCGGGATACGATTTTAAAATACTAATAGTATAAGTATTAATTTCTACTTGCAGTTATCGCATAAGAAGTCAAAGAATAGTCAGATCAGGAAATTTGAATGGGGCAGTGTAAAATGCAGACTGTAAACTGACTGCGGACTATTGTTTTTAGGGTTAGAGCACAATGGGACTATTGTTGTCACGTTCTAATTCGCATGGTGAAAACAATAGTGTGCAGTCTGCATTTTACACCAACCGGAATTTGAATTGTCAGACTGTTAGTGTAAAATGTAGCCTGCGTAGCAAGCGTTTCCTCACGAGTTTGTCGAGAAAGTTGGAACAAGAGCAAAAAAAGGAAAGACGGGGGAGGGGGAGGGGAATGAAGGAACTGCTTGCCCGCAAACCCCACGATTTTGATAAACTGCGTTCGCCCACGAACGCAGCTTTTGATTGGCGCGGTGCTGGTAGTGTTGATTACTTAGCACTTGAAACATCAATCAAACCAGGTATGCTTTGTTTACGTGCATCACAGATCTGGTTTCATCTGATTGGTGGTCACAGATTACAAATGCTTTGGACTGATGTTTATTTGAATTGTGTTTGTGTGAAGGTTTATAAGATCAAAGTCTTCAAAGTATAATTGGAGATCTAGCAGTGGAGACTAGGGAAGGCCAATTTATTGGGAATGACGGCGTGCAGATCTGACTGGAAAAAATGGACTGAAGAGCAGCAGCTCTGCAAACCTTATAGCCGGCGGAGTGAATTATAAAGGTCCACTGAAATAAGATGTCATTTCTCTGCGTAGTATGGACAGTTTAGAACGAACAAATTGAAATGACGTCACAATAGCAATGTCACGCGAAAGCTACAGGTCATGCCACGAAGGAATGCTAGAATTGGCGTAGCAAATTTCGTCGCCAGAGCCTTTAGTACTCTTTTCCAGCGAAACAAGCATCCCTGTTGCTGATCGCAGGATCGCAACCTCGGGGAAAGAGATTGGGGTGTGTTTGCGCACTTGTAAAACTTTAACTAAAAATATATAGAAAAATCTCCCCATGTGAGGAAATGCGGGAAATTTTTGCTTGTGAAATTTGGAATCCTGGGCCTTGGAATCTGGAATACAGCTGTAGAAATCCGGAATCCGGAATCCAAGATCCACTAAGTAAAGATGGAGAATCCAGTAATTTGAATCCGGAATCCACGGCGCGGAATCCAAAATCCAAGACTGTCTTGGATTTCCTTACATGGGGCGAGAAAAAAGCACGAAACAAAAGATAATTTGTGTTTATTTGCGTTTGCAAACTGTAATTTTTTCAAACAAAATGCAGTATTTTTGCCTCATTTCACCACACAAAATCGTAGGAAGGTCCGTGGTCACCGTTGCCTTAAGAACACAGTCAAACGTCCAAGATGTTTTCCACAGACTGATAAGGAGCAAAGTTGGAAAGCTGTGCGTACCACATGGAAATTGCTGGATACGACCCTGGCAAGAACGCTTATAATTACCTTAGATGGTTTTTCTTGTGAGTTAAAAATCAGTTAATACTAAATGCGTTTGTTCTGGCCTGTCTAGAAAGCGTTTCCACGCTCGAGTTCGTTAAGAAAGTTGGAGCGAGAAGGGAAAAGAGGAATAAATAGGAGGTTGGAGGGAAAAGGGAAAGCGCTTCCTCTTCTCCTTTGCCCTTCATGCTCTTTCATTTCTTTTATGACTTTACTATATTCCTTTTTTGCTCGCTTTCTCTCCAGCTGAAACTCTTGCTACGCAACATACAGGTTACATTTTTTGGATACAACAGACCTGAAATTCTTTCTTCCTTCCTTCCTTTCTATCGCGCGCAAACTGATCAAAGAGAAATAAGCCATATACAAGACCAAAAAGAGCGGCAAAATGGTATCCCCGCGAAATTTTGCCCAGCGGATTAATTCACTTCAAATGTGCCCATGAGCTTGAGAAATGGCGGACGGACTTAAAATTTCCGTGCAATTTAGGTGAGATTTCCTCTAAGAATTTGATCACAAGAAACGTTATAAAAGCCGAGAACTTTTCATGACAGTTTTCTCTCTGGTTTAGTGGTGGAGCCGAGCTTTTATTCAACAAAGCGAAGGAACACGAGGTGCTTTTACCGAAGGACGAGAATCCATGTGAGTAAGATTTCCCATTTCAATGGCAGATGATTTACACCACGACTATATGTCCAGTAGCGGGATACGATTTTAAAATACTAATAGTATAAGTATTAATTTCTACTTGCAGTTATCGCATAAGAAGTCAAAGAATAGTCAGATCAGGAAATTTGAATGGGGCAGTGTAAAATGCAGACTGTAAACTGACTGCGGACTATTGTTTTTAGGGTTAGAGCACAATGGGACTATTGTTGTCACGTTCTAATTCGCATGGTGAAAACAATAGTGTGCAGTCTGCATTTTACACCAACCGGAATTTGAATTGTCAGACTGTTAGTGTAAAATGTAGCCTGCGTAGCAAGCGTTTCCTCACGAGTTTGTCGAGAAAGTTGGAACAAGAGCAAAAAAAGGAAAGACGGGGGAGGGGGAGGGGAATGAAGGAACTGCTTGCCCGCAAACCCCACGATTTTGATAAACTGCGTTCGCCCACGAACGCAGCTTTTGATTGGCGCGGTGCTGGTAGTGTTGATTACTTAGCACTTGAAACATCAATCAAACCAGGTATGCTTTGTTTACGTGCATCACAGATCTGGTTTCATCTGATTGGTGGTCACAGATTACAAATGCTTTGGACTGATGTTTATTTGAATTGTGTTTGTGTGAAGGTTTATAAGATCAAAGTCTTCAAAGTATAATTGGAGATCTAGCAGTGGAGACTAGGGAAGGCCAATTTATTGGGAATGACGGCGTGCAGATCTGACTGGAAAAAATGGACTGAAGAGCAGCAGCTCTGCAAACCTTATAGCCGGCGGAGTGAATTGTTCTTGACGTTTCAACAAGGCTTCAGACGAGATAAAGCCACACAATAAAAAACAAGAAATTCCAGAGCAATTGCTCAGAGTTTTAACCTTCTTTTATCGTAAACCTTTTTTATTACAGTTTTTGCAATTGCCTGGAACGTGTTTTATTAGAGATCAAAGTAATTTTACAAATCTGGTAATCCAGGGGTAATACTTCTATTTTGACGAGCTGTCAATTTACAAATCAACCAAACCGTGAAATATCAAGGGGCGTTTTCCAGAATCATGGGGTTTGCGGGCAAGCGTTTCCTCTTCTCCCCTCCCCTCCCCCTTCCACGTTTTGTTTTTTTTTTTTTGCGCCCACTCTAACTTTCACGCAGTAACTTGATTGGAAACGCTTGCTACGCAGGCTATGTAAAATGCAGACTGCAGACTATTGTTTTCACCATGCGAATTAGAACGTGACAACAAAAGTCCCATTGTGTTCTAACCCCAAAAACAATAGTCCGCAGTTAGTCCGCAGTCTACATTTTATACAGCCCCATTGTCAGGTAGGGCATTCCATTTTGTATCCTCTCCTGCCCATCCCCCTCCCCCCACCCCACCTCCCCAAAGATGGCTGGCATCCAAACCCTCAATTTTTTGTTGACATCCGTTGAAAAATTAACTTCCAAGAGTTCGGGTTTTGTTGGCACTTTTGAAACTATGTCCAAAGGGTTCTGTCAAGAGAATATTGAAAACCCCTTTTCAAAATCCTGCCATCCTCAGGGGTGAGGCAGGGTGTGGATAAAATGTCCAAGCTCTAGTGAGTGACTGTAAAAAATCTCAAACAAAGGTTCTTTTAGACTTTTGAAAGAGTCCTTTAAGGCTGCTTTGCATCCTATAAAGTGTGCTAATTTACAGCTTTTTTGCTGTTAAAATTGTAAAGTGCACTTGTGGTTTAGTCTGAACCCTACATCCCCAATCTTAGTTCACTTTATCTACCTATAGAAGTAAATATGAAGATGAGACAAATGCAGATCAGACTAGCAGTCATTTAGTGACATGAAAACCAGGATCTGCTACAGGGTCAGTTAGTTTCTGCCTTTGTGCATGATTTTATTATGAGCATACTATTATAAAGTTCCATGTTAAACCATGTTCTTTTCTTTATTGATTTTACAGGGAATATTAGGAGATTGTTGATATGGATTAAAGATAATTTGCTTAAAGAAAGACCAGAATTGTTTCTTCAAGGAGATTCAGTGTAAGAGCCTTAAAAAATTTTCATTCTTTAGAAGTGAAAGGAGCTTGATCTTCTTCCGAACTTGATCTTCTTCTGTAGCTTTGAACCTCTTTTCCACCCCAGTGTATATTTAAATCTGGATGATGTCATATAAAAACCAGTAATATACTCTTAGAGACACTTTAGTCAGTTCCTGTAGTTTTATTATTGTATCTCCCTTGGAGAGCCTCTTTCAATGTGTAGACACAATAATCTGAAAACCATTACTTTATCCATTTTTTGTCATTACGATATTATTGTACATTTAAAAATGTACAATGTAAATATGTCATGTTACTCCTGTAATGCGCATCTTTTCTAAGGAAATTCTCCTCAAACCTTGCTTTTATGGACTGTTGCTACTACAGGCACCAACTTGTGGTCCCAGTAGTGTACTCTGCAATAACAGGAGTTGATATTATTTTGGTCATCCTGGCAGTCTCTCTACCTAGCACATGAAATGATCAGATGTAATTTCCTTACATGTAGTAGACAATGACCACTGTAACTGGTCTAACTGATTGAACAGGCTTTTTCACTTCTACATGATTTCTACTTCCAAGAATTGCAGTATACCATGAGCAAACCCCGGAGAGGGGAACACTAAGTCTTTTATTTGGCCTAGACAGGTATATAAAATGTATGTGCCGCTGAACAGGGTATGGTTTGTAGGTTCTTGAGTCTTAAACATGGTATACAATTTCACTATTTATTTTTTTAGCATTTTGAACAGGGTGTGTTTTTGGACCAGAAGCATTAAAAAGAGTGTGAAGGCTGCCGTTGAGCGCTCTTCTTAACTGGCACCACAATGTTTTTTTCAAAAAAGTTAGTTTAAAAAAATACTGTGTGCAAAACAAAGTGAATCAGGGTCATGAACATAGGACACTTGTCTTAGATAGGGTTTGAAAGCCTCAGCGGCAAACCTTTACCCAAACTTCCCTTGAGTGTTCTCCTGGGCAAACAAACTCACCCAATTATTTGTTGTTTTAGTGTGTTAAAAGATTTCTGGCTTGTAACTTCGAAAGGTACTGTCAGTATTTAATAATTTTCATAAAATTTCACTTTTTTCTTATTTATCTCTTTACTTTTTTGTAGACGACCTGGCATATTGGTGCTAATTAATGAGACTGATTGGGAACTGTTGGTATGGCCATAAACTGAGAGATAACTGTTGATATTGCTGTTCTTTACTTTTCCTTTTTTGAATATTAATATCTACCAGCCCACTTTTTCTGTTGGTTATAGGGAGAGTTGGATTATGAGTTGCAAGAAAATGACAGCATTGTGTTTATATCCACTCTTCATGGAGGGTAGAATTGAGAATCCAAGAGAAAAGCAAGACAGACTGGAGACTGGAAAGACAGTTTCATGGGACCGGTCAAAAAGAACAGCACTGCAGTCTTTCCTTGTAACTGCACCTCGAAACAGTCTAGCTCCTGAAGTAAGCTTAGGAGTTTTGGAAAAAGCAAGTTACTTGTGTTAACCCATGTGATACAAGTCATGTCACCCATTTCTTCAATATGTATAAAAAAGAAAGATACATTTGTTCAAGTATTATTTTGATAAATCCAGTAATGACAGATTACTCAAAAATGAACATTCTTAAGTAGGAAGAAACTGTTAATTTTTATAAAATTTAGGTGCTAGTAGTGCAGCCAGTTAGTGTTATTGGCTCAAGATTTATATTGCGGGATTTAAACTCAAAAGTAACAATATAACGAACTATCCTATAGTTTCCTGTAAAGGAGAAAACTGAGGTCAGCTGTCTTCTGTGGCAAATTGATCAAGTTTGGCATTAAAAGTATCATTATAAATAATAAATAAACAATGAGTGACTGACCTGCTTACTGTAGGTTGAAGAAAAATATGGCTGAGGNGGGAGAGTTGGATTATGAGTTGCAAGAAAATGACAGCATTGTGTTTATATCCACTCTTCATGGAGGGTAGAATTGAGAATCCAAGAGAAAAGCAAGACAGACTGGAGACTGGAAAGACAGTTTCATGGGACCGGTCAAAAAGAACAGCACTGCAGTCTTTCCTTGTAACTGCACCTCGAAACAGTCTAGCTCCTGAAGTAAGCTTAGGAGTTTTGGAAAAAGCAAGTTACTTGTGTTAACCCATGTGATACAAGTCATGTCACCCATTTCTTCAATATGTATAAAAAAGAAAGATACATTTGTTCAAGTATTATTTTGATAAATCCAGTAATGACAGATTACTCAAAAATGAACATTCTTAAGTAGGAAGAAACTGTTAATTTTTATAAAATTTAGGTGCTAGTAGTGCAGCCAGTTAGTGTTATTGGCTCAAGATTTATATTGCGGGATTTAAACTCAAAAGTAACAATATAACGAACTATCCTATAGTTTCCTGTAAAGGAGAAAACTGAGGTCAGCTGTCTTCTGTGGCAAATTGATCAAGTTTGGCATTAAAAGTATCATTATAAATAATAAATAAACAATGAGTGACTGACCTGCTTACTGTAGGTTGAAGAAAAATATGGCTGAGGAAAGTGAATTATCATGTAACAAGTCTGTGAGTGAGGCTGTTGCCAAAGTTTGACTGTGGGCTGGATTCATGAGCCCATCCTAAGCCAATAGTACAGTAAAATGGGCAACTTGTTTTGGAACATTACCATTGTTGGACACGATGTTGTATTTTTTACTACCCAATTCAAACCTATCTAGCAACAAATAAGGTTGTTGCAAGTTGCATGAATATTGACAACTGATTGGACAAAATTACGTGGGAGTCATGCCATACATGGGACTTGAACAAACTTACTGCAAAACAAGTTTGCCTTGGCTGGTAAAATGTGCAACATGTACAGATTTTGTTGCAAAAAGAAGAACTTCTCTACTTTCTGCAAAAACTTTTTGCAACCTTCAACAACCTAATGGTTGCAAGACAGGCAGGTTTGATTCATAAGTGATAAAACGCACTTCGCTTTTCAACCCATTTTGCAGCAAAACAAGTTGTACATTTTTGTTGCCCGTTCTCAAGTACCTTAAGAGAACGATAGGCCATATTTGAGAGAAAAAAATATCTAGATGAAGTAGGGCTGTCACAGGGGGGCCGGGAATGTTCCGCAGCTACTACTGGCAATTTGATCCCTGGCTACTTTCATAGGAAACAATAGGAAAATAGAACCAAAAGAACTTCCTAGCTGCTCAATTTTCTGACTACCAATTGCATATACCCAGCAATTTGTAATCTTGGCTACAGCCCTGCCTTGGACAAACCATAACTTGGGAAATTTTGGAGACTCTGACCCTGAAGTGTTATCATGTGAAATAGGGCATGGCATGAGTTATGGAGGGTGTACACACAGGAAGAAAAGTTAGAGCTTTAAGATGCTCCAAACTTGGGGGGTCCACCACCATTTGTTTTCAAATTTTTGTCTGGTTTGTCCCTAGTACTAGGATCTTCCTACCTCTCAGCTATGAAGATCCAGTACATTCCTTTGCATGTAAACTGAAAACATATGGTGCTAGGATGATCCTCTAGGATCTTCCTGGTGATAGGATCTTCCTCCCTCCATGTAAACATCCCTAAAATTAGGTTTATGAGAGGGGGGTGCACAAACCTGCCCCCCATTACCTGTAACACTGTAGTGTTAGTTTTCAACTTATTACAGCTTACCAATATTGAGGCACTCCTTCTAGCAGAATCCACATATTTGTGCTAACTGTCATATGTCCAAAATTCAAAAGAAACACTAGTCAATCGGCTCAATGCGAATAAAATGAAAACGTTCACAGTTGGTGACCCTGCTTCTCTTCTCATCCTTCAGGCACTTGTTACCTTCCCCCCCATAGCCATCCTATAACCCTCCATATTCCTCACACTGTAGAGTTGACTGTATAATAGGTCAACTTGAAAGAAAGTACAATACAGTGTTCCAGAATGACATGGTGTCAGGAATTTTCTTTGCTAGAGATCTAGGGAGACCAGTGTACAACTCTTCTTCCAAGCAACCCTCACTTTGCTCATAAAACAAAGGGAAAATTGTACATGAAATCACCTCCAATTACAGAACCAAATGAAGAGGTAATGAACAAAAAGCCCTTTGTTAGCAGGGACAAGTACAAATTTGCAGCGCCACGATTGGTTTTCCACCAAATAAGGTCTGAGAAACAAGCACTGAAATTCCACACTGATGATGCATCACAACCTTCTAGACCCATGGGAAGTCACCTCTCTTCGCTGTTGGTGTTTCTGGATCCATCACTGTACAGTAGTCGTTACTTAAAGACGGGTAAAGGGTCTGCAGTATAAGTACCTCTTTTGGTCACCGTCGTAGTACTAATGTCAGCTGTTTTCTTAGGCTAGCATGAAATCTGTTAGAGGCGTTGGTCTGACTGAATATTATCTGATAAAAATTTAAATTTAGGGAATGAAAGACTTCAACTACAGGGGTAAGTAAAGGGTTAAAAAAAAAGGTCTGCCTGGTCAACCAGAACAAGTAGGGCTAGTAACTTTTTCAATCTCACTAGCCCAATGGACAAGAGTTGAAACAAGTCATCTGGCACATTTTGTAAATATATTAGGGACCTTAAGCAAAGATGTTTTTGAACAATGCACAACGACCTGAAGTGGACCTTATTTATAAGCCTGCAATGCAGACATATTTTGGGCAGGCGAAAGCTTGTAGCCGCCATCTTTAATTTTATAACAGAGGAATAATAATTGGCAAAATCGTCTCTACAAGAATAAAGACACTAATACAAATTTGGTAGCATCAACGCATATTATAAGGGAAACCTCCTCACTTCCAGTTGACGTCCTTCGCTCTAAAACACCTTTGCTTGAGCTCCTTATTACTAACCAAGACAAGCAAACAATGGCCCCCTGAGGTGAGCACAATGCAAGAGGTGCTTGTTCAAAGAACAACCTGGAATTCAAGTTTTTTTTAAGTCCTGTAACGCACAAAAAAGGAAAAGAAACACAGACAAGAATATCTACACAACATTTTTATTGAGAGGCAGCTGATTTACTCCTTCACAGCATATTTCCTAAGTGAGAAGTGTGTTAGCTTCTTCTGCTGTTTCAGGGTCTTGAGAGAGGCTTCATGCTTGGTGAGGGCGCGCCTCATAGCACGGGTCTTCTTGGGCCTGAGGTCAAGAGGTTTGAATTTCTTGGTTTTGTAGAACTTTCGCAGGTTCTCACGCTGAGAATGGCTGATGACAGTCAAAACACGAGCAATGGATTTTCGTACAAGTTTTCTGCAACAAAAGTAATTCTATCAGTAACAACATACTCAAGTAAGCTAACTAAACAATAATTATGAGAGTGTCAGTGATGTTCAACTGCCAAATAAGTGATAAACAGGACTGGCACAAAGTTTGTCCTGTATGAAATTGAAAAAATTTTATCCCATTCACTGTTTAAGTTGATTTGGTGGTAAAAGTCAAGTTACTGTACTCTTCATTAACAAGCAGCCACCACCGAGGAAAGAAGATCTGACAAAATACTGTCATCAGAAGTAATCAGAAACGAAACTGTTTGGATTTTGTAAAACCTAAAAATGCCAGGTGTATTACTTTTATAACCTTCTCACATGAAACACAGCTAAATGCTTCTTTTAGTTTATGTAGTGAGGTGAATTATTCAAAAACCTTGTGAACTTCCAAAAAAACTGGAGGTATAATATTAAACTCCAACAATAGATCACAAAAAGAAGTAACAAAAAAAGTATCATTTTTATCACACTCTACTAACAACAGTTTGGGAAAAATCATTTTTAGCCAAAACCAGGATGAGCTGTGGCACCAAATACAAAGAAAAAGTAAAAATCTGCCTTGCCAGTGTTTACTGGTGGGTAGAGAACTATTTCCTAACTGAATTTGCATCAATTTGTGAAAATGCACTAAACATATTCCTGAAAAACTTTTAACAAAAATACTTTATCATTTTTATTCAACAAATTTGTTAAACACTAAAACAACTATGCCTGTCAGGGCTGGTGCAAAGTGCGCCCTGGTAATTATCCACCACTATTCACTTCCCCATTGGAGAAGAGTTGTATAAAATGTGACCTCTCACGCAAGACCCTTCCTCACCTTAGTTTCCTCCCATTTTATTTTTGTGTTGCGCTTTCTCAATTTCACAGATGCAGTGATCCATCTACCTGCACTTCCTGCGTCTCAGACTCATAAATTTCAGAACAGATGCAAAATTTGGTCCCACATGCGTCCCTTTGGACACAAAAAATTATAATTTCTCTATTAAGATCATGGCTGGATGTCTTTTCCTCTCTATCAACAAAAAACTTTGCAATATTAAGCCAAGTAAGTAGCGTGTGATCATTCAGCGAACTCCATCACAGGCCCACTGTTCATAGTCAGCGGTTACAGAAGTGATCTTCAACTTGTCACAGTGTTTTCTATCTTGTCCTGCTGCTTGCACACGAGTTATTCAAATTTACTGCATTAAAATTTAATTTTTCTTTGGTGGAATCAGAAGAAAAAAGTTATGTGCCTGGTAGAGCAACCACAGCTCTCATTTGAGATTCAATGTCGAGAAAAAGTAGGACAAGAACCAGCAACTACAATTGAAAAAGATGATGCAACAATGACAGCACAAGCGAAATCCAAGGAAAGAAAATTATTCGAGCCCTGGCTGAAAAAGTAAGTGGATGGATGGTTTACGAAAAAATGGTAATTACATGTACTGCCGGGTCTGCACGGAGACAAGGAAATCTCATGGAATGAGCAAGGAAGCCCAGTGCCAAAATTTTTGAAACACCATACTCACTCTGCATTTTGGTCTCCTAAGTTCTTGAACACAAAATGGCCCTCCACGCAGGGCTGTCATCCCCTTAAGTCTTCAAATATTGAAAAATGGTAGATGATGTCATAATGCACTGGCCATGATGTCATTTCGCCGAAAAACGCGCAAAAAAAGATGTTGTTGGAATTGTAACATTTGACCTGATTGGTTTACTTGCCACCAATCACGTTAATAGCTTAAACTTCAATGGCATACCGGAGTTAAAAAGAAAATGTTCAATGTTAATAAAACAGCTCAAACAACCCAAAATATTTGAAATTTCATTGTCAGAGTCGAGTCTACAAGAAATGGAAAACTTTGGTGATTATTCGGGGGATTTCAGACTCTAATCTGGAGACCGAAAGATACGGTTCAAAATCTGGAGTCTCCTGCATTATCCACGAGAGTTGACAGCACCGTCCATGGTCCTGAGATTAGAAAGTCATTCAAGGAAGCCTAAAGAAAAGGCGAAACAAAGCAGAATAAAGCCGTACTAGTGCTTTTTAAGTGTGTACAGTGGCTGTGTATGGCAAGCATCCCGCTAGTAAAATTCATTTTGCTACTGGCACTTCTTCATGATTTGGGGCTTGACAACATAGCTAATCAGAGTAAAACTTGGTCCTGAAAGAGCTGAATTCAATTTTGATCGTGCACTGGAAAATGGCACAAAGGGAAGGACAGGCGGATCTATGAGCTCAAATTTAAGAAATAGATTTTGAGATTGCTCCCTGAAGAAAGTTATTCATGAGTTCATTAATATGTCAAAGACTGAAAGTAACTATATGGCAATAAAAACCTCTTTTGATATGTAAGTGTTCCTCATAGGTACAACTCATACACTGATGGATGTAGGACCATGTGGGACCATGTGGGACTCAAACTCCTGAGTGTGGGACTCACACGTATGTCTAAGGGACTCACAGGTTTTTGGCTGTGCGAGTCTCTGGACTCGCTGCTACCTGTTTGTAGATGGATCACTGCAGATGCCACTATCTTGGAGCCTGGAACAGGCTAGGACAAATGATCATCTTGGCCAGACATTGTCCATTGACTAGATGTTATTTTAAGCCCTGAACAGGTAATGTTACTTTAGGTAAATAAGGACGATAGACAGAGATATTAGCAGATGGCAGTTGTCCACAGTTACTCTTTCTGTCAGCAATGCACTGAGTGCTGATTACTGAAACTCCAGTAACAGCTTTACAAGATTATTGCCACACAGCTGTAGCAGAGAGGTTGTCATTACAGGAGATTTGGATGAGAGGCTTCAAGTCAATGGAATAAAGTATGGCTAGAGATGGACATAGCTCATAAGGAGAGGCCACATGAAAACTTAAACAGCGTGATTTTAAAATGAACTTACATTTTAGAGAGTTTGGAAGCAGCTCCTCCTGTCACCTTAGCAACTTCCAGTTGTGACAACTCAGTCTTGAGTTCATCAAGCTGCTTCAGAAGCTCTTCCTTTTTCTTCCCGCGAAGCTCGTGAGCTTTTACCTTCACCTGAAGTACAACAAAACATCCTCCAGGTNTTCCAGTTGTGACAACTCAGTCTTGAGTTCATCAAGCTGCTTCAGAAGCTCTTCCTTTTTCTTCCCGCGAAGCTCGTGAGCTTTTACCTTCACCTGAAGTACAACAAAACATCCTCCAGGTAAACAATTACTATTTTATCACGTTTATTTAAACCAGCCCGGACAATCTAACGACCTCGATGTTGCCAAAAAGTCCGTGTTAAATACTTCTCGACCGTAATTCTTTTTCTGTTAAAGCTTTTTTGTACGCTGAAGTATGAACAATTTAGCAATCAAGAACGAACTCAAGGGAACACGGCCAAACAACGGAAGATAAAAGCTAATCACAAACATTCTACAAATCCTAGCTGAAGGCTCGTACGTCGGTTTTAAAACTTATCACTGGTTACCGTTTGCACCGATGGATTAATTCTTCCAGACGATCTATTCAAGGGCTATTCAACGACAACTGCAAAACTAGTGAACTCACAAATTTAAAACTAGCTAGAGATGAAAGTCCTAAAGATAAGAATTATTTATCATTTTCATAGGAAAACCTCGCATCAACTATTAAACTCATTTGTGTGCTATTGACCACTCAAAAATTCCCGATGTTGAGAACAAACTCTCAATAACAGCACAGCCACTAAAATGTTTTCGATGTCTACTCAGCAATGTGTACAACAGGCGATCACGAGCACTATTTTGTTCGCTGCCCTATTCGACTGTCGCAGAAGTTGCAAACGGAAATAATACGACGAAAACGAAGAATGGTCATCAGTAGGTTTTCTTATAGGGATTATAATGATAAAACGAGCAATACCAATACGATGAAAAGCGATGTTTATAGCTTATACTTTCTTTAAAACCCACCATTTTTGATGTCGCTTTGGAGAGGGAGACAGAGGTAGTCTCGCAACGCCTTGTGGGAAATAAACCGCATCGCCCACCTGGAGATCGCGGGCTCGAAACTAAACGAGAACTGCAGCATGCAGCAGCAGCATGCAGACTTCGCAGACTGATTAGTTCATTCACAGGTAGCCCAAGCTCGAAATATGAGCATCGGCGGCCGCATCGGCGAGCATCGGCATTGTTGCGTAACATTCAAGACATAAGGATTTGTATGGGGAAAAAACCTATCGTTTCTGTAACCTACGAAAATGAAAGAATTTCAATAAAAAAAACAGCTTACCTTACTTAAAATGTGTGTTACGTCTCTCCTGTGTGGTCCACGGGCCGATTTATGGCCTTTTATGGGTTTTTATGTAAACGGTTTTCTCTCTATATAAAGGTTTACCCATAAAAGGCCATAAATCGGCCCGTGGACCACACAGGAGAGACGTAACACACATTTTAAGTAAGGTAAGCTGTTTTTTATTGAAATTCTTTCATTTTCGTAGGTTACAGAAACGATAGGTTTTTTTCCCATACAAATCCTTATATTTTGAATGTTACGCTACAATGCCGATGCTCACCGATGCTCATATTTCGAGCTTGGGCTACCTGTGGTTCATTTAAAAATTTAGCATGGTTTTAGAGTAAAAAGGTCAAAAGTTAAAATATCAGGAACAAGGTTGTCATTTGTTTGTATTTTCTGTCTAGTGATAAGTAACGCACTGAAGATTCCACTGAAATTTAAATGTAATTTAAACATAATTCAGTATAGTATTATTTAACAGTTAATGAATGAGGCTGAGTATCTTATGAAGAATTGTGGAGATCGAGGAGGGTGTTATCTGTCGAGGCCGTAGGCCGAGGCGGATAACACCCTCCGAGATCTCCATAATTCTTCATATGATACGAAAACCGAATTCAATAACTGTTTTATTATTCATTCAAAATAATTCCTAGTTTAAAAACATAGCTAAAACAAACTTACCTCCATCGATCCATCGATGTTCAGTTCATCTTCGATAGTGTACGTTTAGGTTTGTCTAGCCCCCGCAAATATTCTCCAAACAGCAGATGTCGCCCTTCGAGTTGTCTTCTTGCTGTTCTTGCCATGTTTTTAGCTGTTTTTTCGCCTAGTTCTGACTCTTGAAACGAGTGAAATGTCCGCCATTTTTTCAAGTTCACAACCAAAACAACTCATCCTCGTCCCCAGGTCTTCTCGGTTAACGGTGCCTTAACCTGCGAAAACGCTGCATTTTTGACGTCATTTCCTCGTTAAAGTCAAAATTCTTCCAAATTTGGTCATCAGTAACTGGTTATGGTGAATTAAACGTGTGCTTTTAGCCAATCAGAATCGGGGAAATATTTTGAATGAACAATAATCTAACTTATATTACTATTGTATTTTATCGCGTATCTTTTAATATATTTTCACTGTAACTTAGGATATGTATTTTTATCCTTTGATTGAATAAAGACTATTATTATTATTATTATTATTATTATGATACCTTGCAAAGGTCATTTTGGGAAATTTGATAAACGTGTGCACAGTCGCCCCCTTCCCAGAAAAAAAATCAATTGTTTTTCAAAGGAAGGAGGCGTCTTTACGCAGGCTAAATTTGATTAGCGGTATGCGCTTAATAACGACGATGGGGTCCCCCCCTTAAGTTTCAAAATGCTCTGTCACTAAAATTTCCCCCGCATCTGGAGTAAGACACATTAGAAACGAATTAAAATTGATGACGTAATCGGAAAAATTGACTAAATGAGTCGTAATTTGATAATTGAACAGGCGGACCTGAAATATGCTCCGCAGAAAGTGGAACTTACTCACAAGTGTCAGATGTCAACAGCACTAATATACGTCGTTATATTTTATTCGTTTTCACCCCTTCGCTCTACAATGTCTCAGGACTGTAATAGGAGCTGACGCACAGGTAAATCTTTTAGTGAACGCGCGCGCGGTAAGCCAATCTGATTCGAACCACAGTTCCTTAAAACGAAAATGATAATATCATTGGGTGCATTTGCTCCGTTTATTTCCTAAACTGGCTAAATTCGTCTTCTTTTTGTAGTTGAAGTTAAAGTAGGAAATGTTATTGTATAATTTGGAAGTTTTCGACAATACTTGATTTTTAATCAATCAATCATGATCATTCGATTCAAGTTTCATCCCGCTTCAAACTAGCCTCTCCTCTGAGTACCTATCCTATTTCTCAAGAACAGTTATTCAGTGAAACAATTTGCCTGCTTCTGTCTTTTGAGAAAACTGCTCTTTATATACTTTCTAAGCCCCTGTAAGCTGCCTAAATCTTACCTTTGTTAGCCTATTAATTTACCTTTTTTTCTGCTGACCAACCCAACCAATAATCCTCAAATTTGAGGGATAGGCTGTACACGGTAAATGTTAATGTACATTTTTTAGCGTGTCAAAAGAAATCTACTGGCACACCGCCAAGTGGTGAGTTAAACGGGTACACAAGCTTACTTCATTTCTAAACTCTTACCAAGCAGTAGAGAACAAAATTGCATCCCATTATGGTTCATTATGGCTTTTGACTCCATATTTTCCGTCACCTATGTTCAACGATACTCACCTTTGAAAGTGATTAAACTATTCAAGGAATTGTTTTACTTTCACAGATATATTGACACGATGATTGAAAGCGACATTCTCTTTCCATGGCTGGATCCCAACCTCCACGCCATGATGGATCAGCTCAAAGACATGAAAAACAGCGAAGCGATGTGCAAAGTGCGAAAATTCAAGCAAATTATTCAGAGACACCCAGCTGCTTCAGTATTTCTTAGTACTTTCGTGATAACGGGGTTTCTTCCCTTCTTTTTGTTCCTTGCCTTCGTCGCGGGATCTTCAATATTCGTTCTGTTTTCGCTTCTCCTTTTTCAAGGCGGGGTTCTTGCACTGGGTTTGCTATCTCTGCTTGGAGTGTTTGTACCAATCGTTTTATTTGGAACTAAAATCGCAGCCATCGTGTACGTGATATACATCATCACTGCTACAGTTCTTCGCGTCGCACACATTTTAACAAAAACTATAATATGGCTCCCGAGTGTGATTCTGGCCGTTATGACTAAAAAATTTCACGATGTTTTTTCGCTTCTTGGTGAAGCAGTTAGAGTGGAAATACAACGTCGTCGGTCCAGCGCTTTTTTGTCATGACATTCAGAAGATGGCTGTATATATATTGATAACAAGCGGATGAATGGAGAGCAATGTACAGAGGCCGTTCTACCAAGCTAATCCGAAGGCCGTATAAAGAGAAATATAGCCATTCACGTGGATGGCAAAGAGTTGGCTTCAAGACCAAGGTGATTTTTCTGAGATCAAATAAAAAAGCCATTTCTCATGTACAAGGTTTAGTCCGATTTGTTCACGTTACTCAGTGGATTCCTAAGGGTTCATTTCCAGTGTGGCGTAATTTTTACGTGCGTACGGACGTAAAATTCACGTTCACGAATAAAATAGAGGCAATGCATGAATGGTGGCTCATAAACATAAAAGTTGAACCTCGCTTAACTTCTCGTTTAAGCTCAGCACTTTTTATCTTACCTCTATTTTATTTACGTGAGTTAACGTGCGTACCCAAAAACGCGTCAGTGGAAATCAACCTTAAATAGGTGTTTTAAAATGGGGTGTGTTAAAGTGCGTACTTTCGGTTACTTGTTTATGCGGTTGGTAGTCGAGCCTACTCCAACGCACATATATCCCTTATTAAGAAACTGGATGTACACCACATTTTATGAGCTTTCGGGAGAAGCGCTATTTCACTTTCATTACAACAACTGAGTATGGCTCAAGAATATGCTCCTCAGAAAGTTGTTATGTCTGAAGCTGTGTTAATCCATATTTATCTAAAATATTCAGTGGAAAACGCTCATTGAAGCCACTCAGAGATTACGTTGAATAGACCAGAGATTATCTTTATTTATTTAAACAGGGTTAAAATTCATCAAGCATATAAAAAGAAATTGTATGAAGGAAATGTCACAAGTGCTGTTACGTAAACCTGTTTTCCATGACTGTCGTGTCTCTATTAATTTTTAAAAAAATAGGATTAAGTGATTTATTTCAACTTAGACCAGGAATAAACAAGCACGCTCTTTAAAAACGAGGTAAGTCTCGCTTGCTTGGGGGATTAGATAAGAAATGAGGAGGCGATTAACTCTTCACGAAACAGAATTTCCTCGCTTAAAGTTTTTTACTTCTTACTTTATCGACAGTCGAGTATTCTTCAGGATATTTACTTTTTACATCGTATTCGATGATGATTGAGTACGCGTGTATAATACACGAAAATCAATTCAAGAGAAATTACATTATTGCTAGCCTGCGGGCAAAGACGTATTTCCGGTCGTCGCTTCTCTCCACCCGAAAAATAATTAGCTGGGGAGAAGCGACGACCAGAAATACGTCTGTCCCCAGGCTACATCATTGCCAGAGACCAAAGACGTGATGAACAGCGCGTCATTTCAATCATCGCCGAAAATAAACTGCATGTTCATCTCAAGACTCATTTGCATACAATGAAAGTTTTCAACACCCGATCGACGCTTTCAAGCGATAGAATTCGTGGAAAAGTTCGTCATCTTTCGCATCACTCCTTCCTAAGCTTTCTTCGCAAAAGGAAGCATGGCGCTATGACACGTCGCGATTCTTATCCCCAGTTTCTACAATCTCCGCTAGGAACGCCTGGGACCATGATCTCCCTTCATGCGCGCACACGCAAAAAAGGCAAAGCGAGACTAGTAAATAAATGTAAAGTTTTCTTCCGCTTCTTCTTCTTTTTTCTTTTTTTTGCAGCTTCAAGAAAAAGACTAGTGCTGAGTATCTTTGGTGATACATCTAGGGGTAAATTCATTCTTAATGACAGATTGATTGATTTACTTAGGAAATCACTACCGTGAAGAGTTTGGCTACGAGATCCTAATTACCATAAAATTTTAAGATCTTGCGCCATGAATATATCTTGAGGATATTATCAATCATTTCATTGCATTTAATTTCAACCCACATCGCCGTGAATGACGCATGCTGGAAGAAACTCTTTGTCTGACTTTACAACATGAAATGATAATAAATAGGCAAACTAAGGGATCGGATTGAATCCCCAATGCTACATTCACACCTCTCAGGACGATTTTTCGACCAGTTGAAAATTCTTGCGCTTAGGTTTGCCTTTCACATGTATGGTGGCCCATAGCTATCACTCGAAATTTGCCAAAGATTTTGCAAAAAACCCCCTAAATAAACAGATATTTTAATGAAAACGTAAAACAAAAGATAAGTAATACTTAAATCAAACGTTTATTCATTGAAAATCAAAAATCAAATAAAAATAAAAATAAATAATAATTAAAATAAAATGAAATAAAAGTAAACTTAAATTGGAAATCAAAAATAACATAAACATAAAATGAAATAAAAACAAACTGAAATGAATCACTTTACTTTTGTCGTGGGTTTTCGTTTCTTTTTGCGTTACTTTTGTTTTTGTTTTCATTTTAATTTAAAACGTACTCGGATCGCGATAGTATCATATCCAGGATGCTTTGCACGATAAGAACTCCACGTGCAGAGCAATCAGCAAAATGGCTGCCGAGTGGAGAAATTTCAAGGCGAAAATGAAAGCGAAAAGAATCGACAAGGGTAAGGGAAAGAAGAAGGACACCATTAGTGCTTTTAACGACGAAAATGATACTTTAGTCGTGCAGCGATTAAGCGCTGAGGTCTCCGGTAAAGCCCAAAAATATTCAAGAATTGGTGCGAGGGAGTTCGTGTCCTATGAGTACGAAGAGTTTACGATTGAAAACATTCGGAGAGCATGCGAAAAACACTTCGCAGTCGACAAGTCAATGAGCTGCGACATTCTGGCTGGAGAACAAGGGCCGTCCTGCAATACGGTGAAGCAGATCCCAGATTCGCGAGTGATCCATGTACGTTTTGTAGAACGAGTTCCCGTTGTTGAACTCGATGAAGGTACTGAACTAGGCACCCGAGAACGTGGGCCTAGCTTGAAGTCGCTGCCAGCGAAACGGAAATTTTCTGACGCGGAGACAAAAACCCGATCAGTGCCCACGAAATCTGCCCCAAGTCCGAGCAAGTTTGTTCCAAGGAGTCTTTCAGTGGTTGAAATGCTTAAACTTGGTAAAATGATCACGCAGTCGACAACTTCAGTTAACATTTATGCGTTTAATTTCAACGAGATGTCGTGGTCGAAGACACCATCTACAGTTGATTTCTCTATCGACAAAGAACCCTTTGGGAAAGGTGGTTTCAGGCAAGCTTTTAAAGCTATAAGCAATGACGAGGAATTTCAAGGTACCTGGGTAATCAAAAAGTATCTTCCAAAATCAATAAGTGATATCGAGTCCACAGGTCAATCAATAGAACAACACACCAAGAAAGTGGTACAAATGCACTATCTTGCCAGAAACTTCGCTGCACGATTAAGTCAAGAATTGCAAGCTAGTGATGATCATATACTGTTTGGAGAAACGCTGAAATACAACAAAATCTTTTTGGGTAAGCTTGACTCTGATGAGTATGTTACAGTTGAGGAATTGGTAGAAGGGTCCTTTGTCAAGCATATCAATAATAATGGGCACATTTGTGGTGACACTAATAACCCTGTTTGTAATAAGGCTGAATGCCTAGCTCATTATTCCTTTGAACGGTCAAACAAAGAAGTAATGGTTGTTGATATCCAAGGTTGTGATTACTTACTTTTTGACCCTGAAGTAGCTTCCAAAGAACTCAAATCAAATGAAGAATTTTTTTTCTGTACTGGTAATTTGTCAATCAGCGCTATAAATAATTTTATTGAAAGCCACAAATGCAACTGGTATTGTGAACTACTCAAGTTGCCTGAACTTACAAACTTGTAAAATGAAAATAACATTACCATTTCTCTTGTGAAGGAGTCGGAAGGCACTGAATGGCGAAATGGTCATTGTTGCCCATGAATAATGGGCTTCTGCTGTCATATTTACAGAGATACTTTTCTAGTAATAAAGGGACCCTGCACCACAGTTATTGATATTGAATTGGGTGACAGTTTCACTTCAGTTAGTTTCAAGTGGCTGTTCATGTTGAGGTTAAATCGTGGAGGGAGGGGGGAGCTCTGACCAGTCTAGTTCTGGTGTGTGTTGTAGAGTTTTTGAGATCAGACACTGTTTAACGGTTTAAATACCAGCACCTTAACACCTTAAATCAACAGCTTAAATATGGCAGACTCCATCCTCCTATTGTTCAAAATTTGTGGAGGAGTTAAATCCTCAGTAAAAGAAAACAGAGTTGTAAGTGTTGAAGGATCTCTGTTGTTGAATGTTCTGTTCTTAGTTTATGCTCATGTGTTCTAGAACAACATGTGCCAGTTGTAGTTGTCACTGTGAAATTCAGAAAACTGTCAGCCCTCAAAATATTTCTTGAAAGTAATAATACATAGACCACTTTCGTATTCTTGGTAATGAACTGGAACTAGCTTGAAGGCAAGTCTAAAGCTGGGAAATATCATTTA